CAATAAACAATTTATTTTTTTCTACTTCTATGTGCCCTGTTCACACCATATTGGTACATTTGTGTGCAGGGGAAAAAAACAGCACAACAGTAATGCTGTGAACAAGCCCTGTTATCACTTGGCCTTCTTATCTAAAGGAAATCATCAGCTACCTGCCAAACTATCATATAACCACAGTACAAATATAAAATTATTTGAAAACAGATGGTAAAAACACAGATTTTCCCCTGAAAAATCTTGCGACAGTCCCATAAAACAAGGTCAAATAAAAGATCCTAGAACTCTATGACCCTAGAATCTCTTTTTTTTTTTTTAAATAGATTTAATTTGTAAATGTTTCTTTGCAAGGGTATAACAAATGCACAGCCTGCAACCTTGAACACATTTTGGAATTTTTGGAAAAGTACACTGCTTGTACTGCAGTGTATATACAGGCATGGCACCCCTGCATTTCTGTCAGATAATGCACCACTTCACGTAGAAAACTGTTGCAATTACAAATGTTAGGCATTCTCATGTTTACTTCTTTTGTTTGTATTGGTATGGCACAAAAAAGTAAAAGGAAAAAAATAAAAGCAAACCCTGACATATTCCGCGCAAAACTCCAATAATTGACTGGACAAAATTATTGGCACCCTCAATTATTTGGTAGCACAGCCCTTGGAAAAAATACCCGAAATCAATTGCTTCCAGTAACCATCAATGAGTTACTTACACCTCTCTACAGGAATTTTTGGATCACTCTTTTGCCAACTGCTCCAGGTCTCAGATTGGTCTCAGTTCCTTTTCCCAACTGCTGGTTTGAGATCTCTCCTCAGCTGATCTTTGGGCTTTAGATCTAGACTCATTGCTGGCCAGTCCAGTACTCTCCAGTGCTTTGAAACCATTTCTGGGTGCATTTTGACATGTGCTTTGGGTCATTGTCCTGCTGTAAGACCCATGACCTCTGACGGAGTCCCAACTTTCTGACACTGGGCCCTACATTGCACCACGGAATTCTTTGGTATTCTTCAGATTTCATAATGCCATGCACACAGTCAAGACATCCAGTGCCTGAAGCATCCCCAAACATTGGTGAACCTCCACCATGTTTGACTGTAGGGACTGTATTTTTTTCTTTAAAGGCCTTGTTTCATTTTCTGAAGACCGTAGACTTATGGGCTTTACGAAAAAGCTGTAATTTTGTGCCATACCAATACAAACAAAAGAAATAAACATGATAATGCCTAAACATTTGTAACTGCAACAATTTTCTGCGCTAAGTGGTGCATTATCTGATGCAGGGGTGCCAATATTTTTGGCCATGATTGCATAGCTATTTTTTGGGGGGGGGGGATACAGCAGGGATAGATATCTTGTCAAGTTTTTTTTTTTTACTGCTGTCTGTGTCCTTACTAGGTAGAGTCTCCCTCTATATTTGTCCTGGTGAACAGTGATGGGAAATCCAAAATGTTACTGTTGTCACTGAAACAAAAGCTAAGGGTAAATTGTCCAGTTGAAATACCTGTTCTAGTGACAATTGTCTACCACGGAAATTACTTTGTGGAATTTACTCCTACTAGCTATTGCGTCATTGGCACAGGGAGTAATGGAAAAGCTCTCCAACAGGACAGACACGGGGTAATTAAAAAACAACCAAAAAACACAACAGGAGTTCTAACTCCATCACATCCAAAACTAAATTAAAAAAAGGGTTTTTGGCAGTACATACTTTTTTTTTATACACACACACACACACACACACAGATACATTATTAATAATAATAATAATAATAATAATAATAATATTATATATATTAGCCATCTCGGAGAATTGGGCAAATTCAACTTTTTTACTTCCCACCTAGATGAAAACAAGCACTTAACCCTTGCAGTTCAGGGGTAGGCGCACTGCAAGGGTTAAGAAAATGTTTTTCCCGGAGTACTTCTTAAACTTTAACATGTGTTGCTTGGTATATTTAGTTGTCATACATTTTAACAAATATGATGGCTCACAATTACCTACCTTGTAAAACTCAAACTCTTCTAGTTTAGGTGAACTTAAACTATAAGTTGAGCTAATCAGATCACCCTGATGCTGCTTCTTCTCTTCCTCAGTAATCTACAATATAAATGAAAATAAGGATAGTGTATTACAAAGCGAATTGCTAGGAGTGAAAATGGAAAAAATATAATTTTGCTTACACCTTGCAATGTCAACAAAAGACAGCAGCACAGTACACTTTAGGAGGCCAGCACTGTGGAAAGCTTAAACATTTTAATACAATGTTCCTCAGGCTAGTGGAAAAAGCTGTGCTGTAGTAATAAATGAGAAGCTCTTGGGTCTCTCCCTTTTCCCTGTTGTGAACTGTGGAAAGGCCATAAAAAACACAAAGCAGTAAAACATTTTCAGCTAAAAACCTTTAGTTAGTTTGAAATGTAAAGATTTAGACAGATTTTTTCACTTGGCAATAGTATTTATATTTGTATAACTGTTTTCACTGCACAATATACAGACAACAGTCCAGTGATTATATTATACAGCAACGTTTACAGAACACAGTGGCCCAGACTATGTACAACAAAATGTACAGAGTGCAGTGGTCTACACAAAACAATATAAATACTGCAGGAGACTGCAGCAGAGTGTAGTGGTCCATATTAGGATTAAGTAACATACAACAATACAATGTACTAGGCATGTTCAGATACCAGTGCAGATACCGTGTTTCCCCGAAAATAAAACCTTCCCCGAAAATAAGACCTAGTACTTTTTTTTTGAGAACAAAAAAAATATAAGACCTACCCTGAAAATAAAAAAAAGACCTAGTTGTGGCCGGTGGCGACATCAGGGGGAACTTGAGGAGCCGCAGGAGAAGTGGGAGAGATTCAGCCGAGCCAGCATAAGCCGGAGGAAGCGAGGCGGCAGAGGAGGGAGCAGAGCTGAGAGATAGATAGGAAATATACACTGAGTGGCCAGATTATTATGACCACCCCATCAGTACTTCGTTGGGCTAAATCGTGGCCGCCTAAAGGGATGCCGGGGATGTCCTGTTTGCTAAAACATGGTTGACGGCTGCAGGAGAGCTCAATATAGTTCACGCATGGCAATGTTTTATCAAACAGGACATCCCCGCCATCCCTTAAGATGTACATGTTCCTGCAGTGCCCTGGATGTTTTGTACATGCCTCCAGTGACCAGGATCAGAAGGCTGCATGGAGAGACAGAGCAGGCAATTAGGTAGCGGGGGGAGGGGCTTGTATTATATGTGAGTATACTTCTGTTTTTAGTCCTAAGTCCACTGTGTTGCAAAGTCACGAGTCTAGTGATTCCCTAAGGGCCGGTGCACACCTAGGCGATACCTCACCCCGCGGCAATCGTGCACGATTGTGCGCACGTTGCCGCAGGAGTCGCCTAGGTGTGCACGGATCGCGCTGTGCGTGCCATTATTTTTAATGGCATCCCAGTTGCGTCGAGCGGATCGCACTGTTTCCTGCCGCAATTCCGCCCGTGCATCTGAACATAATCACAGCTAAAACAGCCGCGCGTCGTGTATCGGAAAAAAAAACATGTACCTTTTTTCTGCAACTGCCACGCAGATGTCACCCCACAGAAAGCATTGTGCAGGATCCCGGATCGCGTAGGTCTGCACTGGGCCTGAGTCCAGAGTCTAGTGCGTTCCTAAGTCCCGAGTCCATTGCATTCAGAGTCCAGAGTCTGTACTGGAGGTCACCTTCGAATGCTATCACACAGGAGCTTGTTAACCCCTGTATGATAGCAATAAAGTTACGTGGAAAAAAAGAAAAAACAATGAAAAATAAACTGATAAAAAGTAAAAAAAATAAAACAAAAACATTAATAATAATCCGCAGGGCCCAACTTGAGATCCCACCAGGCCACCTGAAACCCCCACAGGCTACCTGTGAACCCCCAGCCCACCTGCGACTCCACACAGCTGATCACTCCATCACACAGCCGATTCCTGCTGCTCTCCTGGGAAGAGGCAGCAGGGGATCCGAGAAGTGAAGGAAACACTTCAGCCGTGGGGGGAGCGGTGCAGGGAGCCGCTGTCACAGCAGCATGTGCGGTGAGGAGAGAGAGAGCCGTCGGCTTTCAGATCCAGGCCGAGCGGCTCTCTCTCCCTCTCCTCATTGCTCAGCCATGCTGCCGTGATAGCGGCTTTCTCCTCCGCCACCCCACCGCCGGCTGCAGCGCTTCCTTCACTTCTCCTGGGATCCCCGCTGCATACAGATGCGTGCGTCAGTAAAAAACGGCGAAAAACTGCAGTACCCCAAAAAGTCCACAGAAGACGCTTTAAAAGCCCCCACAGGTCATCAATTTAGAGATACCCCAAAAATACTGGCCCTAGATTTAAGTATTTTTTTACATTATGTTAGGAAACATTTTTTATTACCCAGTTTTTTGGTAAAATATAAAAGACGGGGTCACGTCGGGTAAATAGACACCAAACATGCCAAGCTTTAAAATTGCGTTCACCCGCGAAATCGCAGAAAACTACCATACCCAAATATGGCCATAGGCAACACTTTAAAAGCTTTTACCGCTCATCAGTTTAGTGTTATCAGTGATTGATGGCCCTAGACTTATTGCTCTCACTCGGACGTTCGCGGCGATATGTAACATGTGCGGCGTAATGGGCGCAATCGTCTTTTTTGCACGTATGCATGCGTGTATGTATGGGTGGTGACTTTAAAATTTCGTTTTTTTATTCTTTTTTTATCTGTAACTTTAAATTTGGGGGGGGGAACTTAATTTTTTTTCCCCACTAAACTTTATTGCTATCACATACGGGGGCTAATAAATCCCCCTATGTGATAGCAAAATATGTGACAGGTCCTCTTTATGGAGACATCAGGGGTCTCCAAGACCCCTAATGTCACCTAGGACCCCCCAAAAGAAGC